TTACCAGCTGTGGTGCCTTCACTGACCCAGGAACAATATTCTAGCCTCTTCTGCAAACAGCACCTGTAACACACACACACAGACACACACCCAGAGCAGTGAATAATCTCTTTGACAAACATTGCCTTTGTTTGACAGAAGGCAAGAGGGACAAACAGTTTCTATTTTTTTCGGGCGTTTCAAATCCTTGCAGATAGAGAAAAAATAATAATAATAACAATAATAATAATATTCCAACAGTTGCTTTTGCAGAGAGTGTTTGTTCTCTGCGTGTAAAGACTGAAGACGTTTCGGGGAGCTGAAAGACTCCCTGACCCCGGGCCTGTGTGTGTTGTTTTGACTGAATTCATTTTCTAATTAACTACAAACCCAAAAACAATTTTACGCTGGGATTCGCATCATAGTTGGAATACTAATATCCACACCTTAGACATTTTATTCAAAGTCTTTGCTGGACTCTGTGTCCTTCTGAATCCTCCAGGAAAATTAAATGACTTCATTTTAGAGGGACTTTGCAATTTAAACATTATTTTGATTGCATATTTCTGTATTTTACTTTACTTATTACTTTAAAAATGATATAGTCATGATGCTTGATTAATTGTGTATTGATTCTTTTTCATTTTGTATTATTAGGACATCTGTTTATGTGGGGAAAACAATATAAATAATAATAATAACAACAAGAAAAACAGACAAAATAACTATTAACCTGATCCCCATAGCCTGAGACTGCTAAATAGATTCATTGAACCTATCTGCATGAAATTTTCCACTGCTTTTTAAATTTAATCTAAGATCTCCCTCCCCAAATCTGTTCACTACACTTTTCCTTCACAGATTAAATAAATGTTAGAGGTCACAGGAAGCAGGAAAGGTCTTGTTAATCTCTGTTTGAGGGGGAAAATTTTCAAAATAAAAGTAACATTTTATAAAAATTTGTTTTTAATGAATGACACATTTTGTGTTGCTGCAGTGCTAAAGCTCTGATCACCAGTGCCCATGTTAGACGTTATCTACCCCCCCGCCCCATAAATAACATAATGGACTTTTCCGGTGGAAAATCTGAAAATGGGATAACCTTCACATAGATTTGCCTCCACAAAAGTCTTCATTCTAAACCTGTTGAAGACCTTCTCTATGCCATGATGCGCAGATGTCTGACTCTCTCTCTCACACACACACAGTGAGACAAACTGCCTCTTGAACAGTGCAGACCAAACAAACGCACCGGGCCTCATGCATTATGAATGTACATTTACACCGGCGTGCTCTCATGGGGATGAGTTTTAGCTCCACGTCGGCTACACTCACTCACTGGCGTGTCCGGTGTGTGTGTGTGTGTGTGTGTGTGTGTGTGTGTGTGTGTGTGTGTGTGTGTGTGTGTGTGTGTGT